TTTGTTAAAGTTTTAGTGGCAACACCAGAGAGGCTCCAAGTGGACCTAGGAATTGGAGGCTGAGATGTGGGAGCATTATCCTGAGTTATTTGTGACGGTTGAATTCGAGGGTGAAGCCTAGTTCAAGTGGAGGAGAATTGTAACACCCCGATGTCTAGGTAATTTCAATTTCAACCCTATGTTTGAATAATGTTGCATTTTATCCCTTGGATTTGAAAGGATTGCAAAAGGGCCCATAGTGGTAATATGGAAATTTTGTCCAATAGTATGTTGAGCATATGTTATGTATGCTAGGTGTACTAGGGCGCATCCTATTATGTTGGGTGTACATCTCGTACGTGGGTCGTACGTGAAGAAAGTGCATACCCTAAATTTTTGGTTTTGGTTCATATATAAACACCATTATAGCCTCATTTCTCCTTCCTTCATCAGTCTCCCTCTGTGAAAAACAATCCCAAGCAAACCCTATATAAAAAAGAGTGCATTTTTAGCCCATTAGATTGTTTTGAAGGTGTTCTTGAAGAAGAAGAAGAAGGTGGTGAGAAGAGCTTGGAGCTTGGAAGCATCTTGGATATGAGATTACCTTATTGTTAGCAACCTCCAGGAGGTATAAAGTTCACATCTTGATCACTCCATCTTTTAGATCTAGACATTCCTTCCTTTAAGACCATTTTTATCCCAAATATGATGATTCTTGAGTATGACGTGTTCTTGACCCAATAAGTCGTCCTTTTAGACCTTATGAAGGGTCGTGAGTCATAAAAATTTGTTCTTGGGGGTTAGTTTCACTCCATGCATGATATAGAATGTCTTAATGCATTAAGATGTTGAGATTTTGTGTTTTAAGCACTTAATGGGCATGCAATGGTCATAAAGTTGCAAACTTTATAACTCATGATTGTATTTTAGCCGTGGATCTAACTTTAGATGTGAAGATTTGTAGTATTAAGCTCTTAATGGTGAAAGGACTGGCGCATATGTTGGGCATACCAAGGGGTACGTTGCATGTATGCGGTCGGCGCCCCATAAGCTTGTCAACCACCGAGTATGCTCTGCGTATATAAGAGTACGGCCAATATACTCAGTTGAGTCAACTCGGTCGGGTTGGCTCGGCTTGGTTGACCCGACTAGGTGTTGACTTGAATTTTGACGGTTGACCAGGTTTGACCAAGGGTATTTTAGGAAAAATATTATTAATGGATAACGTTTTGACATTTAGGATTTGGGTTGAGCCGGTATTTGGAAGCAGAGTATTGATTATTTTTTGTCAGATTGTGAGGCGAGTTTTCCTCACTATACTTGTGTTTCAAAGGCACCAATGTTGGCCCAATTGGATTGTTATCATGTTATACCTTTATTGATGATATGTTGAGTATGGCGTAGATCTATATAATTATATGATAGCTACTAATATACGTACACCGTTAGATCTGTAGGACTACGTGTGATTTTTGTCTGCATAATTATATGTTTGTTGAATATGTTATTATTTGTTGTATATCGACATATTGTGTTGGGTTGAGACTCTACTGCTATGTGCGTGAGTCAACAGACCAGGAGTATTCTAGTCCAATGACTAAGTGGACCTGAGGGTATTCCAATCCAATGATTAAGTGAGCTCGTTGTATATTGGTATTCCAGTCTGATGACTGAGTGGACCTGTTGTGTATTGGTATTCCGGTCCGATGACTGATTGGGCCAGGGGTAATCTAGCCCGATGGCTGTGGACCCGTGGGTATTCCAATCTGATGACTGATTGGACCAGCATGCTTGTTTGTATATGATATGTATATTGTGTGCTAGTACTTTGGGGGTGGGGGGGACTCATTAAGTGTTGGCTTATGGTTTTAGATTTGTTTCTGATACTTCTGAGGACCGTGGCAATGAGAAGGCTTGATAATACACATCATCGGTTTTTATGTTGATGGATCTTGGGAGACTGATCTGAATAGTATTTTGAAAAAAATTATTTTGTAAACTCTTTTTAAGTAATGGGTTGTTTTGAAAAGTTTAAATTTATTATGATTTTTCATACGTTCCAAATTTGTATAATGAATTTATGCATTGCAAATCTTATCTGGGTCAACAAGTGAATTAGTGAAAGTTGAAGCACATTCCCTCTATTTCAGCCAACTGAATGGGTCAAAACCACTTGAATCTGTTATATAAAAATTATATAGGGTGTGTTTAGGTTAACTTTTTTTATCACAAAAGTGATTTTTAAGAAAAGTGTTTATTAGCTGATGGCTTTTAGGAAAAATATCAAATCGTATTCTATTTTAGGAATTACATCAAATAGTTGGTGAGCATGATGAAATGCACAAGTGAGGTATGTTTTTAGAATTACATCAAATAGTTGGTGAGCATGGATTCGGATCTATTCATGTGTTCCCCAACCGAGGTCTCTCTTTTTATACAATCTCTAATCGTATATGCGTACGTTTTTGTGTTTGTATGTTTATGTTTGTATTTATGTGTATGTGTTTAAAGTCCTGTAATGTGGGAAGGTATTCACACCCTTTATAAGGAATGCTTAGTTCTCCTTCCCAGCCGATGTGGAACCAGGTGCAACCCACCTTCACCCCTATTATAGGGTTCGACGTCCCCGTCGATCACATTGACCCATGCACCAGCAAAGATACCATTTGTAACAACCCCCTCTGGTACGTATCACAACATTTGGGCTCCAGATGTGAAAACTTCCCAGGGGGGTCACTCATCCCTGGATTGCACTCGCCCTGGCACGCTTAACTGCGGAGTTCTTATGGGATCTGCTGCCCGCACGACTTTAAAACGCGTTGTGACAGGAAAGGTATCCACACCCCTTTATAAAGAATGCTTAGTTCTCCGTCCCTGTCGATGTGGGGTCAGGTGCAACTCACCTAGGAAGTCCACATAATAATAGTGGGTTGCACCTGATCCCAATATAACCCCAAAGGTCCAATTCTACCATGTAATAATCGGGGTCTATCTCACCCCTACTACTACCATATAAAATCATGTATATCTCTCACAAACATCAAACAATATATACCAATGTAATAATTATCACAAAAACAATTATTAAGTTATATCAATACTAGTTGGCTGATCTTGGTGCCTTCGACTCACGGATTTTACGAAGGTAGCGTTTGGGATTGCTTTTTAGCCTAAAAAGTCATTTTCAACAAAAAGACTTTTTGACTTATATCTTTTTACAAAATGATGTTTTAAAATGTGTTTGGATTAACTTTTAAAGGAGAAACTACCAAAAAGCCAAAAGTCACCAAAAATCACAAATTTCTCACTTTTAAAACCACTTTTTTTTCTTGCCAAAAAGTCATTTTAAAAATGGCTTATTATTTTTACACTCCACTCTCTAAACACTTCAGGCTACAAGCTATTTTGATTTTCTTTTTCATTGGAATGTTTGACTAGTTTTTATTGGCTTTTTAAGTGTTTCCAACAACTGTTTTCAAGAAAATTATCCACTATTTTCCATATAATTTTGTATTTTCCAAAGAATGAAAACACAAAAAAACCATTACTAATTGAATTTACATTGTCTATAAGTAATACAAACTTAATACAGTAAACTTAATACAAAAATCAGTAAACTCAATACAAGTTATCGTAAATTAAAACCGGTTCATTGAAAAATAGTCTTCGGAGTCGTTGTTCATCGGAAAACGGTAAGTTGTCTATGTCTAACTTCGTATCTTCATTTACATGTTGTTTGCCGGAGGCTGCCATCCGATGGCGGTGGCGGTGGTGAAATTACCCACCGACAGTGTGATACAGAAAGAAAAAAACCCAAATCGGGTGTTGTGAGTTTGTGGCCTCCAAAAACTCGTCGACGAATCTAGTACAATGAGAATGTGGTCGAGAGAGACAGATGGGTGCAATGCTCCGACGGAGGCGAGTTGGTGATTGCAGTACTCCGGCGGAAAAATTGATTTGACTTCCCCGGCTTGTTGGCGGCAGTACACCAGAGAGAGAGAGAGAGAGAGAGAGAGAGAGAGAGAGAGAGAGAGAGAGAGAGAGAGAGAGAGAGAGAGAGAGAGGATATGAGCAAATGAGCTTGTTATTGGACTAGGCTTATTTTGGACTAAGCTTATTGGTTTCTAAAATATTCAAAATTTTGTCTATTGGGCTTGAAAAATATATTATTATCTCATCATTTATTATTATATTTTAAAAAATAGGTTATTAATAATATATATTTTAAAATAAAATTTATGTTATTGATTAATATTTTTATTTTGTTTTTTACTTTTGTAGGAAAAAAATGGAGAATATTTCGGAATTTTCAATGGACCAAGTATATCTCTAATCTTATTATTTACTTATGTGTAATTAATTGATTTATTTTATTAATATTTTTAACATGATTTTTTTTTAATTGTTGGGTCTTTAGATCTCGTGGGGATTTAATGATGTGGGTGCAAAATGTGTAACGTTCACAAGGTTACGTTATCGTCACTAACCGATCAAATGAAAACTAAGGACATTATTTCTAAAATAGTACTTGGTTGTGATCGTGGTGGTATATCCAGGAATAAAGATACGCAAACAAAAAAAATTGTCCATTCGAATTGATAGGAAAGTATTTGAAGGCACACGATGGTTGGAAGTTAAGGATCGTACGTGAAGAACACAATCATGAACCATCAATGTACATGAATGTTCATCCTTTTGCAATGTGTTTGTCGGATAAAGAAGCTCGTTTGGTGCATGATTTGGTAGATTTGGATGTGAAAACCACGAAATATTTTGCCAACACTAAAAGCGCAAAATCAAAATAATGTGTCTTCATTGAGAACTATATACAATTTTGACCAAAATTTGGGGAGATCTCAGCAAGAAGGTAGAACCCCAATGTAGAATGTTATGCACATTTTGCCAACTAAAGGGTACAACATACAGTACATGTAAACACAATTACTAACGAGTTAGAAGAGCTAATTTTTATTCATCCACCACCATTAAAAATGTGGCAAACATTTCCATATGTCGTGTTCATGGATGGTACATATAAAACAGACAAGTATAACCTTCATTTTCTGGAAATTGTTGGTGTCACTTCTATAAACAAGACATTTTCCATAGCCTTTGCATTCATGCATAATGAAAAAACGAGCAACTATATATGGGCATTGACTTGTTTGAAATTGACAATTAACGATTCTTTTTGCCCTCGTGTTATCGTCACTGACAGAGATGCTTTTCCACAAAGTAATCATTTACTTTGTAGGTGGCATATATTCAACGATATAACAAAACATTGCAGACAACGAATCAAACCACAAAAGACTTGGAATTCTTTTCATCTAAAGTGGAAGAAATTAGTCGAATCTCCGACACTAAATGAATACATGCAAAATTATGCAGACCTTCAAACATTATTGTTCGAGTATGCAGGTATTATTTATATATTTGTTGAATTCTTAATTTGTTTAACAATTACTATTAATTCATTGAAAGTAATTTGTTTTTTCATCGTCTTTTAGATGTTTTAGATTATCTTTATACTGTTTGGTTGGGGAAGTATGCTGAAAGATTTGTATCGTTGTGGACTGACAAGCATGTCAATTTTGGAAATTCAACAACAAATAGAGTCGAGAGCCTACACGCCAAGCTCAAAAAACACTTGGAATCTGCGAAATGTGATTTGGACAAATTCATACGTGTTATTGAAAAAGTTGTACAATCACAAGAAATCGCTATCAAAGAAACTTTCACATGTTGCATAATCATGTATATGCCAAGGTTTAAGGATTGGATATTCGAAGTACTGCGAAAACATGTTTCAGTGCATGCTATGGATAAAAACTTGGAAGAGCTTCATCGATCAAAAAGATTTGTACCAACTCTTGAGAATTGTGGATGTCAATTGCGGACATGTTTTGGATTACAATGTGCTCACGAACTTAGGATGTATGTTGATACAAATATGTTTAATCTATTGGATAAATTGACATTTTTATACGTATAACCACTTTATGATATTTTATCTGTTTGACTATAGGTTCACCTATTCCGTTAGATTCGATTGATGGTTTTTGGAGGAAGCTTGATTTGAAGCCTTCTATATCTGTGGAATATGGTGATCTTAATGTTGATTATCATATGCAAAGGTTTAAAGAAATATACAACAATAAACCAGATCATATCAAGTACAATTATTTAAGGAGGATGGAGGAGATACTAGATCCATCAATAAATTTGATCAATGAGCCTTCGGTTAAAAAAATAACAGTGGACGCCCAAAAGTAAAGCGTGTCCAGCATCAAAGTCAAGCTCCTCACAGATACAGTTGTTAACACTTAAATCAGGAGCTCATCATTCATGGACTTGAATGATGATCCAGACAGGCATAGTTCAATCTTCATGGGTTCGTACGAGGAACCAATAAGTCAATGCTTATACAACATAAACTTAAACGAGGAACCAATAGGTCAATGTTCATAAAACATAGACTTAAACGAGGAACTAATATGGCAATGTTCATACCAGACAGACTTGAACAAGGATCCAATAGACCAATGTTCATACAAGATTGACTTGAACGAGGAACCACCATTGGGACATAATTCATTGTTGGAGGAAATTCCATCTATATTTCATCCATACATCACACATATACAAAAAATATTGTGTGATGGAAATTGTGGTTTTTGATCAGTAGCCGTTTGTCTTGGATATGGTGAAGATCAGTTACTTTACATTCACCAACAATTGTTAGACGAGTTATTGAGTTCATATGACGACTATGTAAGAGTTTTCATTGGATGCAATGAAGAGTTTACTTCATTGTCTTTCTTTATGAAGACTAAGTCAGCACCAACAAAACATTAGATGCTTATGCCTGAGACAGGCATCTTGATAGCTAACAGATTTGGTGTGATCGTTCAATTTTTTACCAATGAAGGCCAGTAACTTTTTTTTCCTCTTTGGAGAGGTCCTAGAGAGTTTCAAAATCATCGGGTCCTTACATTTGCACTTGTTTCTACCAATCATTATGTGATGGTATAATTGGAAGGAGAGTACCCAATGCCTCCCATTGTGGCATTGTGGATCCGTCAGAAAGCTCCGTCAGCAACCGAATGACAAACTATGTATAAGTCGTTGCTAGAATTTTATAAGAATTTGAAACCTACTGAAAGATCTTTTATGACTATAAATGATTAGGTGTTGCTTATTTTTGTTTCAAAATTTTCCTTTCTAATATTTGAAATTTAAAAGAAATAAAAGATTGATGAAGATTTGTTTTAGATATATTTTTCTTGTAGTACTATTTATATTATCATCCTATTAAAAAATTTATATCGTTGTCTTATTTATCTTATAGAAAAATAAGTTTGAAAATTAATTATAATAATAATAAAGTTAGTAATGTTAATATAATGATTAAATAATGAGGTTAACAATAATAAAGTTAGTAATATTGATGTAGTGATTAAATAATAAGGTTAACAATTATAATATAATAATTAAATAATAAAGTTAATTTAATAATTATGTTATAATAAAGTAAAAAATAATAATTAGTCAAATGATTAGATAAAAAGTTAGTCAAATAATAAAGACATAAGATTAATTAGGTTAATCACATTTTTAAAACTTTTAGATTTGCCAAACATCTTTTCAAACTTTTAGCCTTTTGAAAAAGCCAAAAGTGATTTTGAAATGAATCTCAAACACCATCTTAATGTCATTGAAAAAAAGGGGGTCGAGACCCAAATGAGGATCTCACGGACAACTATCAGCTGGAGAGAGGAAAGATATCGTTAATTTTCCCCTTTTGATTCTCTAATGGAAACCATAATTCAATTCACTAATCGGGAACCTCTAATTCCCGAGTTTTTTGTAAAATCATTAAAGGAAAAATAAGGGAAAATATTAATGGAATGAAAGAAAGAGGAACAAAAATTTTATTTAATCCGTGTTCCCGAGTTCGAAAGAAATAAAAGTAAAATTTTTAGTTTACTTGTTCTCGAGTTAAGAGGGAAAATAGAAGAAAATTATAAGATTACAATTATACTCCTATTTACATATCATATCATGTATAGAACATGTAAAAAATATTAATAAACTACAATGGAAATCAAAATCAATCAAAAACAATTTATCAAACAATCAACTAATGAAATAAACTCAAATCAATAAAGAAAAACCAGAAAATCAAAATTCCACCTTTTACAAATAAAGTCCAATGCAAACTACTATAAAAAAAACAAATAAAACCCATAAAACATAAAGATATGACTCATTTTTTAGCTTCGTTCATCATCGTTCTTAAAAAGATCTTCCGCATCTTCATTGAAGAACTAAAAATTGTCCTAGCATCGGTTTGATTACGCGACAAATATATAAAAGCATCTGCAAATTCATCGACATCCAAACCCATCAACTCTAACTCTTTCTCGATTTCCTCACCTGTATAGTTACGAGATTTGTTCCATTACTTCATAACACCAATGATTTCTTTAAATGTTTGCATAATATTGTATTCAAAAGATTCTGGTTGAGGTTCAGGTTCAGCTACTACAACATCTTCACCTTGAAGTTTCCTTTCTAGTTTTGTTTTTTTTACTCTTCAGCTTCTTGGCTTTTAAACTCCTATCGGGTGAAACATATATTGCTAACACTATTTGAATGTCCTCATCATCATCTTTGTATTCATTCTCAAAAATTACATCCTTATTTGCTATTAGTTCATCCACATCAATAATTTTTTCTACTTTAATTTCTATGGGTTTGCTTAACCGAGCGTTTTTTTTTTCTTTTGTTGTTTACGCTTTTGATCTCGATGCTCTATCATCTGAAAATAACATCATCAATTGATCATAGTTTAAATTTTTTTTGGTCTTCAATGCAGCTGCTTCAGGGTTTGCCTGTTTATAAACAAACCCAAACATTAACTAATAAAGTTAATGGTAAATAAGTCATATAAAAAAATAAATCAAACGTAAAACCAACACGTATATTAATTAATTGTTCCCATACTTTTTCCTCTGCTTCAATGTATTTTGTTTGAGAATTTCATGAGTACCCACTCAATGAAGAACCCCGATACATATCATACCATTTACTAAAATTACCATTTAAAGTTTTCATTCAGTTTTTTAAGATTGTACAGGGAGGATATGGAAGACATACCTAATCAGATTGACGAATAGGCTAGCAGGGATGAAAATACGCTAGCAGGGACAACAGTAGAGAACTTGATAAGACAAAATCGTTTCTGTAGGGAGGTATTGATTATGCGGCTACTTGATTTTATAAATAAAGTTGTGGGTATATTGGTCTGCAAAATTTACAATGCATGTATCCTTCCAATTTTCTTCCAAAATCTACCCAAATTAGGAAGAGAATTTGGAAGGAAAACGGAGCTTCAAAATCCTTTACCTCCCCTTGCTTTATTTCAACAATTTAAACTTGAGAACAAGGTTTTCCGTCCACATCCATCCCCTCACCTCACCTCCACATCCTTCTGTTTCCATCCGTAAGTTCAACACGGGAACAAGCTGGAAGAACAATCGCTATAAGATACTGCATAGTTTCTCTTCACGTTCAGAGTTGTGCTTCTTCTCTATGGAGTTGCTTACAAGGATCCATCTCCAAAACTCATTTGACACTCCCCTCTACAAAGTATAGCAATCATCTCATGCGCTTTCGTTTAATTATACTAAGTGTCTTATTCTATTTGAGTAATTTTGCAGTTTAATATCTTTTAGCCCCCAACGATGACTTACTCAAGGTTAATATTGTAAGGCTGAACGGAGTGGATGTGCTAGGAACAGTCATTAGGCTCGCTAAATGATGATGAACACCTCCCCCTAGCGCTCACTAGGAGGCTCACTAAGAGTGGCAGGTTAGGTCTTTGGCGAAATGTGAGGGAAGGCATAGGATGAATGTGATTGGTGGGTTGCAACTTGAACGGATCCATCTTTAAATCAAAAATCACTTTATAAGTCAAACCTTTTTTGGGAAAATTGCTTGTTGAAGCTGTGAATTCGTACTTATTTACCAAGGTTTAGATAAGAATTAAACACACGTAAGTCTGAAACAGAAGAAGATCAGCAAACATGGAAGAAAGAAACGCAAACAAGGCCAGAAAGGTTTTTTTTAAGGAAAATTGCTTTTCAACCAAGCTTTTATTAAGACAAAAAAACGAAAAATGATTACAAAACATTAAAAAACAAACCCCTATTTAATGGAAAAGAATCATTCTAATTTAAATTGATTACTACTTTTTATGCATACAATTCCTACCCAATAAAATTATAACAAGTTTTTATACCTACAAATATTCCTACCGAATAAAATTATAATAAATATCATCTTTCCATATTTTTTAAACTAAATCATTAAGACTATTTTAGGAATATATCAAATACAATTAAATTAAATGGTGATTTGTCATAATTTTAGTGGATAGGAATAATTGTAGGAAGCAATTTAATTTCTCAATTCAAAAACATAAAAAAAAAATTAGAAAGTTTCCCAAATAGCACATGGAATTTTTGTCCCCAAATCTAAATTAAGCCATCAAGTTTCACAATTTCTTTTTTAAAATAAAAACATTTTTTACCTAAATGCTACTCCTAGCAAATTGCTAAGAATTAAGTGTCAAGAGAGAAAAAGAAAAATGAAGTTACTGAAAAAGATACTTGGTCAAATTTAAGATTATAAAAATTCTTAGTAGTTACTTGAGAGTTGAAAATGAATTGTCATCAGTTCTAATCATCTTTCCGAATTTAACATTGATGAAAGATTATGCATTTTGTGATTTTGAGTAGATGAATTTGATATTCTAGATTTGTGTGGGAACAAGGCAAAGTATACAACCATGTCTCCTCTTAAGGAGATTTTGGATGTTATTCATGTGCATTTAGGTTCGTGTAACATGTTTACTCTAGTGTCAAAACCTAGATTCGCTAGTTAAGATCAACTGGGTTTGATATGATACTTGGGATGTAAATTTACGTCGTTATTTAACTTTGATAATGGACTATTTTGAAGTAAGTACATTGGAAAAGTATACGCAGTCGTATCACCTATATAGGGACGAGACCAAACCGATATCCAGAAGCCCCATCAATTTCTACAGAACACTTCAAATTCCACAACTACAATAGGAGAGAAAGATATACATCACAGATTATAACAATAATCTAACTGTATTACTATTACTTCAATGACAGCTTGTTCATTATTCAACTTTTATTCCGGTATGCATTCGTTTTTTCTCTAGAGTATTTCTCATTGATCTGACCTGTATGATCTGGGCTGAAATCGTACAGTATTCATGTGTAAAAATATAAATATAAACTTAATCGTTATAAACTAAAATCATAAATGACTAAATAAATAAATATGTAAAATAAACTAAACGACAAAATATGTATGAACGATAAACGATTCAGGACAAAATATGTACACTAAGTCATTAATCCCTCAATATAATTTTTTTGATAATAAGCTTCGCAATATTGATGTTAAAATTTTTATAAATCTAATCGGAGAAAACGATCTGCAATGGATACAAATTTGTATAATGAAATCATCAAAATCAGAAACAAAAAATGCTTTCTCATACACAGCATTGTCAAACTGTGTCAGAAGGTGTCCTAAGATTTTTCTGATTTCATCATCTTTGATGATTTCAATTCTCGCATCCACGCACAATCTCAAAATAAATAATCAAAAGCAACATAAATCAACACATGACTAAAGAGTATATAAAAAAGAAGATTGAAACAAACCAAATATTATGATCAGAAAGAACGTAGCAAGGAGATATCGGGATCATTTGATATTAAATCATCTCCGCTCCATTATCCTCATCTCAT